ACATGGCAAGGCACAGGGCACAGGGCACTGTCTCCTTCCAGGAGCGCAGACCGAGGCTCTGGTGGGAAGGGACAGGGATGTGGGGGACAGGGATGGGAACATGCCATGTCAGGGAGCAGGGGGTGGCAGAGCAGGCCCAGCAATTCATCACTCCCTGTCCAAGGTGCAGAGCACAGCTCTGCCAGCACCTCACAGCCACTCACCTGGCTCTTGCCCCTGGGCACATCACCTGTCTTCACATCTTCTCCCTCTTCCTGGCAGCATGGTGGGTGCACCAGCAGGGGGGCCCACACCCAGACCAGTCTGTTGGTTGGTCTCAGTTTGCCAGGAGGAGGCTGTGGGGTTGGCTGCATCCCAGATCCTCCTGGTATCTGCAGCAGAGGCAGCTGGAGGAGGAGAAGAGCTGCTCAGCAGAAGCCCCCTTGCCACCCCTTTCCCCCAGCAGCCTGCAAGCCACTCCCTGCACCCACAGGGAACGTGTCATGCCCTTTCAAATCTGCACTGAATCCATGCCTGGCTCCCAGAGCTCCCACCCATCTCTTCACCAAGAGGCAGCCCTAGCAGACATAGCAAAAGCCAATAGCATCACTGCTAACAGGAGAGCTCTGCTCAGCCCGTGCCTGAGTATGAAGAGGGCCCCACAGGTCAGAGTCCTAGCAGACCCAGGCTGGCAGGGCCCTCAGGAAGGCCCATCTAACCCAGCCTCTGCTCAGGGCAGGATCAGTCCTGTTTGAACCCCCCTAGACAAGGCTATGGAGGAGCTGGTTGAAACATGCCCATCAGCCCCCCAGGCAGATAGAAGACAGCTGCCCCACAGCAAAGGAGGCCAACCCCCATCCTGTGCTGAACTGACCTGGGGGACCCTGCACCCTCCTGTCACATGGGCATTACCTGCCACCCCAGGCACCTCCTGCCAGCAGGGCTCCATCAGTCACCTTGCAGCAAATCCCCGATGGACACAGTAAGCAGGATCAGGAAGAGCTGGGCCTGCAGGATGGAGCCCATGATGACTCCCACCCACACTGCACCTGCAGACAAGGAGCACACCTGCTACCTCTTCTCATGGGCTATTCAGGGAGCATGTGGCTGCCCCCCCAGGCACCGTGCAGTGCCCTGTCTTCTGAGCCCATACACACCCTGGCACAGGGCAGGACTCACATCACCCAACCCAGAGCCCCCCTGCTCCAGGTGGAGTGGTCCCTCCTGGGCATCCCATGGACTGAACCCATCTGGATTAACCCTGGGACTACCTTTGGTTGCGGCTTTCAGCACAGGACAGAGCATGCAGGGAGCCCATCCCTGTCCCCAGCCGGAGGGATGTGGACTTTGTGACAGCTGGTCATGGGACTCAGGCCCCATGTAGGGGTGGCAGGGAGGAGGCATCTTCCTTGCCCTCCGTGAGAAATGCTGTGCTGAGCTCAGGGTCTGGCCCCTCTGTACCATGCTCAGGGGCTGCTGGGTTATTGCATGCCCTCAGGCTCTGTGGCACCTGGTCCCTTCTGCTTCCAGCCCAGTCTGGCATCAGCTCTCCTTCAAGAGGCTCCCACCAGACACTTGGCACAGGTGTCAGTGCAGTCCTGTTCTGGCTCAGAGCCCCAACAGGGCCTCCTGATCCCGGCACCCCCACACTTTACCTAAGCCAATGGACGTGGTCACATGGCACTGGGAATAGCCCACACAGTTGGCCACGTGGCATCCATAGGTTCCTACTTGCTTCTATGTCTGGTCTGGACTTACAGGTCCCTGACAGCATGCCCTGCCCAGGAGAGACATGGCCTGAGTGCAGCTCCCAGCATCTCTCATGGGATCTCTCAGGTAGCTTCCCTGTCCCCTGGAGAAGCCCCTGGTACTGCCAACCCCACCCCCAATTCACACATTGCTCCACTCAGAACCAGCTCCTCTGGCCAGACTGGAGCAGAGGCCTGGGGCACTTGTGTATCTGGTGCAGCCAAGGGAACGCTCCCAGCTCAGCACAGGGAGCACTCCCGCCTCACCCACCCATGGCCTTCTCCACTCTGGTAGGAGAGAGGAGCTCAACCCCTGCCCCAGCAGTAGCACTTCAGGATGCTGCTGCTCCCCTCAGCCTGCTTCTGCTCTGTCCAGCACTGCAGGGTGGCCAGCTTCTGTTCAGGGCAGAAACAGGCCGTCAGCCAAGGGAGTCCAGCTGGGCTCAGAGACAGACAGACCCAGCTTTGCAGACAGACAGGCAAAGCATGTGCTGGGGGGCAGGCTTCCCTCGAATGTCCAGCAGGGATCAGGGGTAGTGGGATCTGCTGACTTGCAGGTGGGGCCAGTTTGGGTAGGTGGCCATGTTTAACACTTGAGCGTTCACCAGCTTGATGGAGGTGCTGTGCCAGCTTGGGTCCTTCTGCGTGAACATTACGCTGTGCTGCAGGCCCGGGGTGCCCATGTAGCTCACCTGCTGGTGGCGGTAGGTCAGGAACTGCAAGGAAGATCTGCTGCCCTCAATGACCATGGTGGGGGGGACACCCAGGGACTGGATGCAGCCCCCTTGGGGGACATAGCTCTGGAGCAGGAGAACTAGGCCTGTGGAGCACAGGCTGCTGGGGGCTTGGCCCCTTGGCCAAGTACAGCACCTGCCGGCCCCTTACACTGATCTGCACAGATGCTGCCAGGGCTGGCAGAGGGACAGACCACTGCCATACTGGGCAGGACAAATGAACCCAGGCAGCTTATGTGAGGCATGACGGGAGTCTGCTGGTGCCCCAGGTGCAGACCTCTGCCCTGCCCTGGTCAGGAGGTTCCCAGCTCCAGGAGCTCTAGCAGCGCTCAGCTGATGCCCAGTGTGGTGGCAGGCCCTGCCCATGGCACATGGGAGCAGCAGGTGTTCCAGGCCGTGCCCAGGTCGGCTAGGCTCAGATCTGCACTTGGCTGGGAGGGGGCTTAGAGCCATGTGCCGAGGCGGCTCCCCCTCCAGCCTGTCAGCCCAATCCATCTTCACCGGTCAGTCAGGGACCTGCTTCCTCGCTTTGGGGCTGGCAAGAGACTTTCCACAAAGGGCCTACCTGTCATGAGACACAGGAGCAGGAACAGGAGCTGGACATTGGTCACCTGGCCACGATCCCACAGCCTCTCTTGGGACAGCCGGAGTCCGAGCCAGAGCCGGGCAGGGCAAATGGAGATGGCTCACCCCAGGCAAGGCAGCTCTCGTGCTGAGTTGGGCATTCCTCCCAGGCAGCAGATACCTGTGGGGTGAGGGGAGGTGGTGAGAGAGTGGCCCCCAGCCATGAGCAAGGGCCAAGGCTCTGCCCCCCCTCCCCCAGTAATTAGGCACTGGCTCAGCCTCAGTGTAGGGCCTCCCTCCCCTGCTCGCATTATGCCTACCTCGTGGCACTGTATGGGATGGGGTGGGAAGGAGGGCACAGGGCAGATGGGGGCCAAGGCACCTCTGTATATTGATTTTTCAGTGGCCACTGGTGGAGGCCACAATGCACCATCCTGTAGCCCAGGTGAGCCCCAATACCAGGGTAAGGGGTCAGCCTGTCTTTTGCACCCACAGGCCCCCACCTGCACCAGGACTTAGCAGCTTGCACTAAGCCTTGCAGGGTGGGAGCTGTAGCTGTGTGCCCCCTTACCCTGGAAGCAGGGGCTGTAGCTGGCTTGGGGCTCCATGGCACTCTCCCTTGTTGCTGGTGCAGAGCCTGATGGGAGGAAAACAGCATGGCTCTGGCTGGGATCTGTGGGGTGAGGCAGGACCAGGATGACAGCCCTATGAGGGGCTCACTGCTGCCTTCACTGATAAGGCCTGGAGGCGCTGGGTTGTGGGCAGGGTGCTGCTCTGGTCTTGTGGCTGCCCTCTCTCCTCACAAAGGCCCAGGGCACCGTGCTTGTACATGAACAGCGCAGAGCCAGCCTAACAGTGGTCACAGCCCAGTATAGTTGCCCGCTGGCTGGTCCCCCTGAAAACCTCACAGTAAGACACACTGGTGCTGCTGGAGCCCTGAGTGCATCCACTCACCCCATGCTGGAACCCAGGCCCCTGTGGCCAGGGGGCACAGGGCTTGGCCAGACCCAAGGCTGAGTGGGCTACAACACAAATCCGACCGATCTGAACTTCATGGTACGGCTTCAGGCCACTCCCTTGTCTGCCTGGATTTACAGGCAGCTGAAGATGCTCTCCCAAGGAAAAGCCCCAGAGGGCAGAGCCCCGGCTCCAGAGCCCCAGCCCTATGCCATGATATTCAAAGCACTTGAGAACTGTTTTCTAACATAGGGATACAATACCTAAATCTGCAAGAACAGAGGTATCCCCAGAAATATCAGCCATTGCCCACCGCAACATTGATGGAGAAAATGCAAAAACTAGGGAACTTTGCTTGGATCACACCCTCATCCTCTGATGTTGTAGAAAGCATTTAGATTCGTATAAGGAGGGAGGAGCTAGAGAGCAGGAAACAGTCCAACTTGCTTTAAGAAGAATCCCTGTTTATCTTACAAGTTTTAGGATAGTAATTACTATTTCCTTGCTGACTAGTTTAGCAGAAGTATGTTTGTTACAGGACTGTGGGCAGAGTATCTATAATTTCTTCCTCCCCCAAACTTTTGTTGTTAGTAAGAAATTCATATCACACTTAAGCAATTCTATTTTACACTTCAAAATTTTACTTAAATCATTTTTTGAAAATATCATAGTTCAAGATTTAAAAAAATTGCAAATAATAAACAACATTGTTCTCACAGATCAACTCAACCTCAACCCAAAACACAAACACAACTTTTGCTACTAGTTTGCTCCCAGAAGGAGGTACATTCAATAATGTGGATTATTTAGTTATTGGCTGCATAGGATCGGCTGATAATGACATCTTGGGATCGATCCTGCTCCCTTTGAAGTCAACAGGAGCAGGTCAGGGTAGTCTTCTCAGCCCAGTGCAAAGGCTGCAGCATGCAGCATAACCATTCCATTACAAGAGTGGGAGTCTGCTTAAGTAAGGAATGCAGAATCAGAGCCTAAAAATAAAAAGGCATCAAATATGTCCTCAGTCAGGCACTCTTTGTTGTAAGGCATATATTAAATGCATGCAAGTGGTACTCCCCATGTAGGGAATGGACATACAATTTGCAGAGGAAAAATACATTTTAGATTTTGAGTTTCTTTGTAAATTTATAAATTTCTAGTGCAAAAGCCAGGTCTACATGCTGCAGACAATTTTGCCTGTGTTCTTTGACCGCTGGTAGCTTTTTCTTTGTGAGGTGTATTTACGTAATCAAATTATAGTATTAAATGCTTTTTAGTTTTCTTCTTCCCAAATCCCTTTGTCAAATCTGAATAATAATACTTTTTAAAACAAATAAACTATTTGGAAAGGAAAACTAAAGTAGAAAGTTTCAGCCAGAAATTCTAGTGCAGTAATAATCATTTAATAAAGTGCTTTACTAAATATTTACTGTATATTTTTCTGAAATATTTAAAATGCATTTAGAGAAATTAACCTTCTGAACAGCATTCTTAAACCACCCGCTTTGTATTACAGCTGTTGACATTGGCTTCTTTAACATCCAGTGAACAAGAATAAATGCATAATACACCTGACTTGAAAATAGGAAGATAAATAATTCCTCTTTTAGGAAACAATTTGCTTGTTAACCCAGCTGTTTGGTTAGACCTGTTCCTGCTTAATTGTCTCAGTATGTTTGGGAGTATACTGGGTTCTACAAGCTTGTGCTGGGAATCTGCAGTCTTGGCTGATAATAGATTTGTAAGAGGACACAATGGAGATGTAGCATGCAAGTACTCGGACCACCAGGCTGGCAAGAAGCACTCCATGACCACTCTAGCAGACTGCAGGCAGGTACATACAAGACAGACAGTTGGGGAGTGCAAAGAAATGGAACCTGGGGACAAACCCACCACTGATGTGCTCATCAGTGCTGGCTACAGGCCTGTGTTTCTGTCATAGAGCTCTGCCTGCTAGGCCCATTTGACGTCAACCAACAGGCAGAGAGCAACTGAGGATGGCTGTAAAAATGCTATAGGTGGTGTGAGCACAACTGAGTTTGTGCCAAGTCTATGGAGTATTACAGAATGCAGAGTGATGTTAACGAACACCAGCACACGGAAAGCAGAATGGAGGAAGGAGGGCCCCCATGACGCTAAACAGAAGTCAAAGTCACAAGCTGAAGCTCCATTTTCTCCTGGACAGCCTGAAAATAGGGAACCTGAAAGGGGAATTTTGTCTTGCAGTGGTGCTAAGGAATTAGACCTCTAGCACAGCCATCCTTGTACTCCCCCTCCTCCCCACCCCCTACCCCCAAAAGAGAGAATTTTAAGAAGAAACTGTGGTTCTTTTCCATCAAAATAATGGAAAGAAGAGGCCTCAGGCCAGTACACCTCTGAATGCAGTGACAATAACCTGGCAGCTATAGGCCTAATGACTTTAATCCAGGGGATGCCAATTATTTGGGCTGAAGGGCTGCTTAAAGGTTTTTGGTGAACTGTCGTGGGCCAGGTCAACACCTCTCCCCCTTGCAACAGCTCACGAAAACTCCCTAAGTGGCTCTTCTCTGCCCTCAGCCATGTGGCTGACATGGGGCCATGGGTAGGAAAGGAGTGAAATCTGGGAGCAGGATGGGCAGACAGGCCTGGGTCCTGGATCTTGGGCCAGTGACAGCATGGGGCTGGGGGCCAGTGAAGAGCTGCGATCTGCACCCTGTACACTCTTGCCTGTGGAACTGGTGCCTCTTGCTCTGCCTCAGGCCCTAGCTCCACACTATCACCACCCTGTAATCCTGCCTTATGATCCCAGCTCCACCTGCCCATCCTGGATGCCTCTCCTTGTCTGCCTGCAGCTCCATCCCATCTGCCCAGCTGCATGGTCTGCCTGAATGCATCCCACCCCCAGCACTGGGTGTAGGGCAGATGGAGTGAGGTGCCCAGGCAGCGGGGATAGGAGCTACTGCCACTGGGGTTGCCAGGAAGTGAGTTTGGCTGCTGTGCTGCCCCAGCCCTACTGCATGCCCAGGGCTGGCAGGACTGGCCACACACACCACAGCCCTGCAGGACTGAGACCCACCACAGGCCAGATGAAATCCCTTGGTGGGCCAGTTCTGGCCCAAGGACCATATTTTGCCTATCCCTGCTCTAATCTCTTCATAACTATGAAAATTAACCCAGGAATCTTTTACTCTTGGTTAGTTAGTCTTCAAGTTTTTTGATGACATTTAGTGACAGCCATTTAAAAAGTTACAGCTCAAATGGCAGCTGTAGGCCAGGCCTCCCAACCTGTTCACCTGCTCCTCAGTTGCTTTCCCAGCACTGACTGTTAGTGCCAGCTATTAAGTGTCCAATGGCCACTGACTATTATGATCCATTGGTGGGAAATTCTAAAAGAACAGGATTTCTCAGCTCCCTAATTGAACTACAGGTGTTTCTAGTGTAAGATAGGCAATTGACTGAAGAGGGAAAGAAATATTAATGCATATAATAAAAATACATTCAACTGGACTATCTAGAGCTATCATATCCATTTGCCAAGTAAAATCTATTAGCCTGATATGCTAAGGCACCTTAGATCCAGACAAATCCCCCCTGAAAATACGACAGAGCTGCAACTGCCCCTCTCTTTGTCCAGCACAGAAGGTATTGCAACTGGGAGTGTAAAGAGCTACTGGAAGCGCTTGTTGAAAATCAATGTCCAACACTGAGGTATTGCACAAACATAACACCAGGGCTGCACCCCTAGTAAAACTGATAGAAGAAATCTTTCCAAAGTGGGCAAAGTCACAATTATAAAAAGGAGTGCTCTATGGAGATGCATGTAGAGGAAGACATCTGGGAAGAGAACTAGATTTAAATCTCAAGGTGGAAGGCAAAATGGCCAGTATGCAAGTCCAAGTTGTTTTCTAGAGTTTTGATCCAAGCTCATTGCCTTGAGCTGCCATCATTCTTCTAGGTGCAGACTAATGTGCTTGACTGCTGTCCTTTGCAGGTCCAGCCAAGCTGCTGGCTCTGTGGCTCTTAAATCCTGCAAGGTAGACTTTTACCACTCACTTAGTAATTCTACAGTCTAAATTGATCTTGGTATCAGAAATATTTTACTAAACTACAGCCTACACTTTGCCAGTGTTTCAGTTCTCCCTTGTACTCCTAGTTATGGTTCCTTTGACAGCTCCCTCCAACCACCAAAAGCAAAGACTCTACTTATTTAGCATTTATTCATGTCACTGACTTATAAATTGGCTAAGCTGTCCATAGGGAATCTTCCCTTCCAAGCTAGTCCCTCCTGTCCTCTAAGTCACTTTGGAGGCTCAATACTCAGCATCCTGTGTTTTGGCAGCAGCTTTCAGATTCTGAAGTACTTATCCCAAATGCAAGCGCAGGAAATTTTGAATTTTCCACCAGGAGTCTTCCTGAGCATAAGCATGTGGTCTGCTCTCCCCACCACCAAGAACGGGCACCCTGAGGACACGATCTATGGCTACCAGGCAAAATGGAGTTGAGGGGGGATCAATTTGGTGGCCTGCTCCTGGATAACTCAAGAGTGTAAAGTTGTCTTTCCCATGTTGGCGTAGGCGCTCAATTGCCAGTTCAGCATATAACGAGCTCTTCCAGGTACGGTCAGCCTCTCCAACAACCAAGAGGAAATGACCCTCTGCTTTTTCTATGGGGATGCAGCAATGGGAATTGGCTGGATCCCTTGGGTCATCCAGTGCTTCAAAGATGTCAAACACGCCATTCTCAGAAACAATGACCTTGCTCATGTCAAAGCGCAGTGCGGGCAGTGTCTTCTCACCATAATGAAGGTCAGCGACTGTGTGGAAGCTACAGCCAGAGATACAGACAGCAGCTACCACCTCTGGCAGGTAGGTGATCATGGAGAATGCCAATTCTGCCCCTTTCCCTGTTCCAATCACTCCAATTCCTGGCCCTTTCACCTTTAGACAAGGAGTACAGAGATTAAAAGAAAAGAGTATGTATTAATAAGACTTGCCTTAAATTTCTTCAGTGTTTTCTTCCAAACATACTAGACAAATTGCCAATAATATCTGTTGGAAAGTTACAATCTGGACCCATGAACATGGGTCATGATAGCCCATTTGTTCTGTGTTTTATTTTTCAAGGAGCAAAAAATGCACCACCTCCAATCAAAAAGGTACCACAGGTTCTTGCATTCCAAGCATTTGAAGTCCAGCCACTCAGACCCGACCCATGTAGCTACTGCATATTTTAATGCAAACTGCCTCTTTCAGAATAAACAGAGGGAAATTTAACTATATTCCACTTGTTCAAAACCAACATAAGAAGGCTGCCCCAGCAGAAACACCTCTTTAAACCGACAGGTATTATGTAGTCCTGAACTTCCTTTTACTTGCAGGAACAGGCCTGGACACACACACTGGAAGGGATCTCCTGAGTCCACTCTGCTGCTATTGAGACAATTATGTCATATAATTCCTTTTATAAACGAATGCAGGTCCATCAAAAAAAGGAGTTATTTTTTTGTCTACACTACCCCCATTGAAGGCTTTTCCAGAACCTTACTACTTTGATGGTCAGAAACATTTTGATTTCCAAATTAAGTTTATTCATTCTCAGAAGTCACTCAGTCCTACGCTTTCCTTCACTATTGGGACTCAAAGCATCACTAGCAGATGGCCAACAGAAGCAGCCATTTCCTGGAGTGTCAAGGCAGTTTGAGTGTTGTTTCTTCTTCCACCCAAACTGCCTTTATATGGCAATCCTTTTTTCCACTGTTCACAGCCAAAAGAATTGATGCATTTTTCTTATTACACTCACCTTTGGGTGACGCTGCAGAAATCTAGCTGCCTCCTCAAAGTATTCAAAGTTCAAATCTTTCATGACCCTGGGCAGATCTTCAAAGTCAAAATATGGCAAGGAAAGAGCAGCAAAGCCATGATTAGCCAGGAGACTAGCTCGGTACTCAGTCAACCCCCCTTCATCACCAAACATATCGATCACTCCTGGAAAGGGTCCATCCCCTACAAAAAAGATGACAAATGTTATCTAGCCAGAACACTAGAGAACTGCAAACTATAGTGGGCATAGTAAGTTTTCTATCATTGTTATTAATTACTTTTTTCAAGGTAGGATATTGTTAGTGACAGCAGTATATTTTCCCTCTATAGCTATATGGGGTACCTGACCAAACTAGGAACAGACCTCATCCACTGCTAAAACAAAGAAAATCTCATCCTACTTTTCAAATGCATTGATCTGCCATTTTAAGGAAGCAGGTCATACTCTAAATCAACTCTCCTCAACCTTATGGCTTACAGGAAATATGTAGCCACAGAGACATTCCAACATTGCTCTTAGCCACAGGAAATTCTGCTTTCCATGGATATGTTTCTTCAGGTTCACAGGGAGAGCTGAGTATGATATTGCCACAGTCCATTTTTTTGCTCAGTATTGTTGCCCATGGGTCAGTCAAACCAATGTCATTTCAGAGTGGCATATATTTATTTTCCAGTGATGTTGCCAACACAGTAGATAGATATCTGCCTAGAGGTTTAAGGACACTTCCTTCCTTCCTTTTTTGTGTCCTGGTGACAAGGTATTTAGCAGAATTTGAAGATTGTGAAGAACACTGAAGCAACCATATCTGTGCTTCTCAGGGATTTAATCTTGCAAGTTTGCTGATGGGCCATCAGATGTCACCGTTGATTCGCTCAAACCCCTGATCATTCCAACTATCCAGAGGCAAGGATTTTTTTGGCAATATCTGTTATTGGACCAACTGTATAGTTGGCAGAGTCATTAGGCAAGCTTTCAGACACAAAACTGCCTCTCTTCACGTCTGGGAGAGAAGCAGACACAGCTTGAGCTAAATAACAGACAGAACAATAGCATGTGTATAATTTCACATTTAAATGAAAACCCTTTGCCTAAAGGAATGGAGGACTGGTAAAGTAGTAGCAAATATAATGCAAAACAAAATGGCAGTAAGTAGTTAACCTAATTAGTGGAAGAGCAAAAGGCCATTCAAGAGGGAAAAGGGAATGGCCTCTCCAATATTTCTTGGACCATCGGGGTATATCATCATTCCAACCCAGCTCAACTATCCAAACATTTGGGGTAAAGAGCATTCCAGGTTTTTCAGGTAAAGTCATATTAACTTTAGCAGGAGTTAAATACTGATTCTGATGGAAGAAAACACCTCTTAAGTGATTTTGGAAATAGAAGCTTTGAACAAGATGTTTCAGACTGTGGAACAGGGAAGCCCCATGGCTTGAGAATATTTTTAATTAAGCAGAGCACTGGAAATACACTGAAAGAGAGTGAACTAGATGCGTTAATTGCTTTTTCTTAATTTTTAATTTCTAGAATTCTAATAAGTTGCAATGTTTCTCAGTCCTCAAGTTAAAGTTTGCAATTCCACTGGGAAATAGGAGGGGGGCAGAAAAATTTAAACCTGAATACATTTTCTATTATAAAATGTCATGATTAAGTTTCATACTTTACTTAAACAAAAAATACAAGGCTTAAAAATATACTCAGTTACTTATCACTGCTGAAACCAAAAACATTCAGGCAAGCGAAGTTGCTCAAATCATCAGCATCTATTGAATTAATATTTAACTTAAAAAAAAGTAAATTTCAGGTTTTTATGAAGATAACCTTCCAAATCTGCAGTCAAGCCTGTAATTCACAGCATAGAATGAAATTGACTTGATGGTTTTACTGCTATTGTGAAATCAACAAGTGGGTGGGAAAGACAAGAATTACATAAACTTCACCCTGCTATGGCTTGAGAAGTCCAATGGCTCCAGTATATGCTCCAAACAAGAAACACCTCTTATAGTACATATTTGGAATCATACTTCAGTCATTGCATTTTTATTTTGAGCAGTCTGCATTTCAGATTCTTGGCTTGATGTACAGATTCTTCATTTTCTTGCTGAAACGAAGAAATCTGTGATAGAAATGTTGAAATTGAACACTCCTCTAAGAAAATTACCATTGCTTATGAACCCTCTGGACTTCCCAGTAGGCTTGTAGCAGACTGGTTGGCAGAAACTTGCCCCAGGCTGCACACCTCAGGCAACAGCCCTCTCCTGGCTGGCAGGGACTACAGCCCAGCTGCAAGCAGTTGGCACTGACTGCAGGCTGCCTAGAAGTGGACCAGCTGCACAGGATAATTAGCTGGCCTACAGAAAGTCAAAAGTTTCCTACAGAGGAAGCTAGGGGAGAGACAGGGTGCTTGGCTGCAATACTAGACCAAGGATTCTCTTAGGGTCTGACAGAAGACCCAGGGCTGTAAAAACAGAGGCAACAATCCTGAGATGAGGACAGGAAACTTGAGAGAGAAAGAGAAGAGAAGAAAGGTTGCACTGTGGTGCTGAGGGAGCAGCACAAAGCTGGCAGCACCTTCTCAGGGTCTGGAAAGAGACCCCAGGACAGTGAGTCACCCCTTTATGAACTGTGAAAACCTGTCTCAGCTAAGCGAAACTCCCTGAACCTGCTATAAGGCTCTTTAAAGGATCATTTTTTACTCTACATTGCAGACCTCCAGATGCCACCAAGCTAGGTAGCAAATCCAAGTACGCCTTTGAGGGTAGAATTTCACTTCTGGCAAAATAGCATGATTTCTAAGTTGAAGAAATAGTGCTCAGACCTTGATGGACTTTGGATCTGGCCTTCTCTCAGTCTCTCCATCTACTTTGGACTTTGCATCAGTAGCTCAGTTAATAGAAGATATTGATTCAAGTCCCAGTTCAGCAAACTGGGACATGAATTTAACTCCTGCTGACATCAGTGGGAATACCATAAGTTTAAGTATTCTGCTGATTCAGGACCTCACATTATACATTAACATAAAATACAGAGAGCACCCATTCAAAACGAGTCTCATTGCATGAGACTTGTAGAAACTTACCTTGTAGCTTGAATGCAGAATTGGGTTTTAAATAAATTAACTTTGCAATAGAATAACTTGCCATACTGGTATCTCACAAGAGGCAAAGGCACAAGAACCCAAGGTTCTATTGCTTCAAGTTTTGCACTTAAAATGGGAAAAGCCTCCTACTCACATTCTGGTTTTGTCAAGAATGGGGGTATACACATAGTTGCTAGTCTGCTTGCTTATGCATTCTGCTGGGGAGTGGGGATATCTTTGGAGACTGAAAATACTAGAATCAATGGATGACTTGTCACCAGCTTTCAAGGTAGAACTAAGTATTTTCTTCATGCTGTAAGATATTGACAAGATTTCCTATAATTTAATCTGCATTTTCACTATTGGGAGCTGCAGCTGACGGTCCTCCGAGTTATGGAGAATTCTAGACAAAGAGAGGGGTCAGCTGATCTATAACCATCACTTGTTCTGTTGTACATGACTAATCATCTTCTGCTCCCACCTGTCTTATTACAAGCATCTAAGACACACCCTATCATTATTTACAATGTTACATGCCAGTGATTGGTGGGTTTGTGTTGTTTTTTTCTATACATTTAATTACTGCTGCTCTATTTGTGCTTGGTTGCATTCTCTTCTGTGTATTTTCCTATTTTCTTCATGCAGGAATCCTCTGTGGCTGTGTTCCTATTTATGAATTATACTCTGCATTGCTTATGTGCCTTCTATTTCTTAAAATTAGTGTTGCTCAATCCCCTGACCCACAGGCCAACTCTGGCTCACAGAGCCATGTCATCTTGCCTGTGGGTCTCTTCATGGGTTTGGAAATCTGATAGTAGGGAAGCAGTGGCAAGTAACAACTGCTGAGGCTCCCCAGCCACCAGATTTCCAAGCCCCATTTCCAAGCTACAGCTGGGCTGTCCCTATGCAAAAGGACTGGCCCTGCTACTGTGCAGCTTGATCAAGCCAGGGCCCAATGAAGCCATGACAGAATGGGTCTTGCAGCAGTACAGGATCAGGCCCCAGCCAGGCCAGCACCCTGTACCAGACTGGATCCAGCCTCCAGTTGGACCTGGTACAGTGCACCAGGCCCATAGCCAAAAAAGCCAGACACCAGTTTGCAATCGTTCTTTTGGATCAAGCGTGACCACCCTGGAGCCTGTCCAGAGCTCCCTGCCTCGCAGTCGCAAGCTGTAACCTAGTGACTCCCCTCCCCTTTAACAACACAGTCAAACCTATGCTGGGACTCGCTGGTGACCAGCTAAGCACTTGCTGTGCACTCCCACAGCTCCCTTTGGACCAAAGCAGGGCGCTTTCAACCTTTCACAGAAGCCGGACATTGGCTGCCATGGCTTCCCTGCACCACCTGGACCAACGTAGGGCCTCGTGCCTTGTATTGTCAGGACTGGCAGTTGTTTTACAAGGAGGTTAGACTATAGATTTGTACAGGATGGTTTGGAGGGGGGTGGTCCTGCCTCAGGCAGAGGGGCTGTCAGGAGGTCCCTTGCAGCCCAAGCTTTGCAGTCAGGAAATAGTGGCTCTGGGCTTTCACTTCACTCCTGATTCCAGGAGGCAAAAAGAGGGTGGGACAGTCTCGGGGGGACCCGGAGCAGCAAGGAGGAGGGTCCCTCGGTGAGGTCCCTGGTTTCTCCTCTGAGCTTGCCCAGCTACGCCACTCGCAGCACCCCGGGGAGGCTGCACCCCTCCCCTCCGCACCCCCGTCCCTCACCGGCAGGCAGGAAGAGGCTGCCGCGGACGCGGCCCTCCTTGAGGCGGACCCTGCGCACGCCGGGCGCCGTGAAGCAGCGCTCAAGGCGGGCGCGCGCGAGCAGGGGCCCGGGCAGGGCGCCGGGCGGGTTGTGGCCGTCGTGCAGCAGCAGGTCGACGCAGAGCGGGC